AGTTGGACAAACTGACACAGATTTGCCTTAGTAACGGATATCCCAGAGCATTTATAGAAAAAAATGTAGAAGTTATAAGGGCCGATTTCAACTTGGATTTTATGAAAATCAGATCAGGTATCAGGAGGGCGACCGGAAGTGGATTTGCCTGCCTTCATTAGAACTGAGCCATCAATTGCGACCGTTGATAATGAAATGGAATATCAAGGTGATAATAAAGGATAAGAAAACACTTTTCACCAGTCTGCAGACGCAACACGAGAAGACGGACAAACTTGATTGCTCGGAAGTCTGTCGCATCAAATGCGGAAACTGTGAGCAGAAGTATATTGATGAAGCAGGAAGAAAAATCAGCCTACGAATCAAGGAACATCAAAGATTTTGCTGGAAAATCGATACGAAAAGATACGAAATAACGGAAAACATTGCACGAATGGGGCACGAAATCGACTGGAAATCGACCGATAGGTTGGCAGCATATGGTGATAATACGAGAAAACGCAAGTTCCGAGAGGCCATCGAAATAGTGACCGAGAAAAATGTAATGAACAGGAGACTTGAAGAAGGCAGGATCAGCGAAAACTTTGCATATTGCCTAAACAAACTCGGAGAATACCAGACAACAGCAAGATCAGCAAATAGAAGACGACTGGAACAAGGTAATATCCTTAATTTTAGGAAAAGAGATCTCAAGGAAATGAGAAAGGAAGAATCAGAAACAAATGATACGTCTTCAGTGAGCCTTATCAAAACAAGTAGAACCACGACAATTGTAGGTTGGCACACAAGAGACTAGGACATAGAAAGTGATAGACATTATGGATAGAAACAGGATATACGCAGTGGATACTAGAGCTATTTTGCTAACAATAGACGTGTTTTATCATAGACTATTGCTAGCCAACTAGTCTAGCTTACACTACTTCTATCTTCTTTCTATCTATAATACCAAGTATATGATTTACTATGCCCTAGTCTCTTGTGTGTCACAGAAAAACGTTGTGGTTCAACATTTAACCTAATCAAAGCAAGCAGTACTACAACATTTGTGGGTTAACACACAAGAGACTAATGCATAGTAAGTGTACTAGGTATTGCGGATAAAAACAGTATAGACGCGGCGGAGACTGGATCTAGTTGGCTGATAGTAGTCCTGTTTTACCATAGACGTGGTCCATGTAGCAAAGGCTTGATGATGAAGCTTACTCAGAGGCTTTAGCCTCAAATTAGTCACTCAGACGCAGGGTAGGGTGAATAACGCCTAGAGTAGCACAGATGAAGTAGCTGGGGTCGAGTGAATACGTGAACTAGGGAGAGAGCAGACGGATCTTATGGGGCAAGAGAGAGACCTTGGGAAGGAGGACTGCGTAACAATATTGCAGACTTTGATCAACATTCGCAGAACAATGGTGAAAGGCTGAGAACTACAGTGTGGAGAGTGAAGGGTTTTCATGAATTCCGCTCAATGGAGCACACCACACTACTTCGAAGCATGATAAAATTGTAACAATGAGGGTGTGATAGGAGGATATAGGAAATGTGAATAGCCCAAGGCTGAAGGGGAGATAACTCAACGTTTGGTCAAGGGTTCGGCTTCACTTGTATCTTTGAAGAGTTGTTTTGTGGTGTTAGGAGTGGTGAGACTCACTGACGATGTCGGCGAAGCGTCTGGGAATGTACCATTTCCATTGTTGACTTTGAAAATGATCATGCATACAATGGACTCCAGACTAGATGCGTTCCTCTAAGTCTTCCTACAAATATAAAGAAGTTGCGAAAACAAGCTCAACCAACCTCTATAAAACGAAAGGAGACTGCGTCCACACAAAAGGCAACACCATCTTGGTCTTCATACCTTCGTTTAGGTAACTAGATTTTTTAAATAAGCTTAATTTGCAAAAATCGAAATCAAACAAAACCTTTTGAGCAAATCAGGTAACTTACGAAATTCCATTACAAGATGTGCACGATATGAAGCAAGATGAGCAATACAGTGAAACAAGTCAGACCTCCATTGGACGTCATGCATTGCATATAAGTGAGCCTCATTAAGAAGCAATTCAAGAATAAACGTGCCTTAAGAAGTCAAATACTTTAAGCAACTTACTTTCATGAAGAGAGTCACCACGACGACAATGTAATTGAGCATATCAATTGTCAAAGTGTGCTCCAGCATGCCCACACTTGCTTGCACATCAAGGTAACTTCCATGCTCGGTTATTAAGTCCCGAGTCAAAACCGATTGTGATATAGATCCAGAAGGAGGAGAAGGAGAGGGAAGAGGCGCAGAATTCGGATCCTGAGCCTGAGCAGGAGACTTAGGTATTGAGGTAGAGGGCTCTCCTGCTGAGGCTGTAGAACTAGTAACATGATGCCTAGGTTGCCATCGACCCCCCATGGAGTCGCGCTGGCTCATTGAGATCAAAATACATGGCAGATGAAGCGTGATAGAGAGAGGGAGATTTGCAGCTGGTCGCTTTATGGTAAAAGGTAAATATAATAAAACAAACAGATTAACAAAGCTCGCATGCACTTGAGTAAATAATAAATACGCTAACGAGACCCATTCTGAACATGAGATCAATTTCTTTTATATTGGACTGGAAGGAATTGTTTATGCAGTGAAATGCAATGGCATATGCGCTCCCGATCAATGGCAAATAAAGCGTATGATGTAATAGATGATGCTGTTTAAATATATATATATACATCATTTTAGTTACTATTTATTGGCATCCTTTTAGAGATTCTAATAAAAAACAGTAAATTAACATTACGTGAAAGATTGTGCGTTCTGTCATATAGAATGTATGAATTACGTCGGCGCGTCCAAATTTTTCATCCTCGCTTTTGAATATTTTAGATATTCGAGAGTATCGTGGCGATGTTACCACTTCACCCCGTTTTATGGCCAAGGATGCCAGTGAGTCAAGGGGGAGATGCAGGAGGAGCCAGGCCCCTCCCAATTAACATTAAAAGCAAAGTTCTCGATTAAGCAAACATGAGTTGGTCATTCCAAACGAAGACGTTACTTATTTTGTATGAGTGGTGGGATTTGGTTATCCGT